ATAATTAGTAGAATCATGATTATTGTTAGTACTACTGTTATATGTATATGTAAACGCAGCAGGCGAGTAACACGGATGACACGTGGTTTCATCTTTCGCTCCACGCATTCTCGCCTTAAGCAAGTTGCAGCAATTGCATGGGTGGTGAGCGGGCCAGCTAAAGGAGTGTTGTTGGCCTCGGCCTCAGTTTACGTGGCGCATCTGCTTCACAGATGGATGACGGTCTCTTTTCAATGTGTGGCTCTGCTCTCGTTTGACACCTCCCCTGGTTCAATCATCATGAATCCTGGCGCTTCTGAGTGTTATAAGGGTGGGTGAAATTTCTAGGCCACATGCATCAACCTTCCCCGACCTCTTCCTCCCCCTCTGGAGGTCTCATGGCGTTCCATGGCCCTGCGGCCCCAGAAGCTCCCCAGAGGTGCCCTGGGGGTCCCCACCGGTTCGAGGCACCCTGGAAGCTCAAAAAGGACCAGACACCTCAAGATTCCCGAGACCCTCGATCATTCCCCGTCCTCGTCTCCCTGTGTAGCCCCCCCTTCCTCTACGACAGCAGGGAAGGATGGAAGCAAAAGAGGGGGGAGGGAGGGTAGAAGGGAAGGACTGGGGTGACGCTGCGCCAGCAGGTCAGCAGCTGGGGCCCAGAGCGGGAGAGCCTTTGACCCATGAGTTCCACGGCAAATCCCACCTGGGCAAATACGCGTCGGTGCAGGAGGTCTTGATGGTTGTTGTCATCGCTGCTGCAAAGAGAGGAGGGAGACGCCGACGACGACAGCTCGTCGTCGTCTCGCCGTAGGCGATGCTGCGGCTCATAGTGCTCGTCTCCGTCGTGCTGCGCGGGTCTGCCGGGCCCGCGCCGCTGTCCGGCCAGCCGACCTCCCTGTGGCTCCTCCCCTTGCATCCCCGCCGTCGCCCTCGCCGCCGCCGCCGCCGTCGTCATCGCCGTCGTCGCCGTCACGGCCGCCGCCGACGCCACCGTCGTCGTCATCGTCGTCGTCCACGCTGCTGTCGTGGCCGTCGCTGTCGCTGTCGTCACGAGTCGGTCTTTCGAGAGTTATGGCCCCTGGAGCGCCGCTTTGGGGTCGAGGCCCAAGAAGGACAGTGTCGCCGCCTCCGCCGCCGTCGTCGTCATCCTCCTCCTCCTCCTCCCTCCCCAAAGGGCCGTTGTCGGCACCTCCCGCCGTCGAAGTTTTCCCTCATCTTACTCTTCCTATCACCTACTCTCAGTCAGCAATGGGTTAACGTTTCGCATTGGTGCTCCAAGCAGTCATTTGCGTAGGTGTGGTGCAGCGCATACGCAGTTCGAGATGTTGAGCTGAGCTTACCTGGAGCACACTGGGTAAACAGCACCAGACGGTAGAAACAGCTGCACCTGCACTGCACACGCATCACATTGAGAGCCATTGATGCGGGCCCTTACCTTCCCTCTCTTCCTCTCTCTCTCTCTCTCTCTCCCCCTCCAACTCACTGTCCTCTTCCCGCCCACATCCCCCCTCTAGTTCGCACAAGGTGAAGGCGGGCCGTTGGGAAGCGGGAGGGGGAGGAAGCCCGGCTGGAGGCGTGGCAGGGGGAGTACGAGGTAGCAGGATGAGGGCTTCAGGATTCCATGGGGCCGCGATGGAGGTTTCAAGGGATCCTACGTTTTTTTCCCCACATCCTAAGTGGGGTTCTTGTTTTCTCTGCACAACCTTCGCGCAGGATCTCTCGTCCTCCTCCCTCTCCTCTGCTCCTCTTTGCTTCCTCCTCCGCATCATCATCACCATCACCATCACTCCCCACTCATCATCATCATCATCATCATCATCACCATCAGCATCACCATCACCATCGCACGATCACTCACCATGATCGGCATCGAACGATCATCATCATCATCATCATCATCATCATCATCATCATCATCATCATCATCATCATCATCATCACTACTCGCTGACTCACCACTTCGTCCCCATCATCATCACCACCATTTACCATCAGAATCGCACGATCACGCACCATCAGCACTCATCATCACCACCATCATCATCATCATCATCATCATCATCACGTCGTCATCATCACCACCACCACCATCATCATCATCATCATTAGCATCATCATCATCATCATCATCATCATCATCATCATCATCATCATCATCATCATCACCATCAATCATATATCATCATCAAACACCGTCGTCATCATCCCGTCACCATCATCCACCAAGAGGGAGCCTCGTCTGTGAGTGAATTGTGAGGAAGTCTCAGGCGGGAGCTCCCTTCCTATGGGGCCCGCAGATCATGTTACTAATCCGAGCGGGTCATCGGATTCCTGTAACTGTCGTCACTTTTGGGCTCCTCAGGTTTGAATTTGCAGGAAGTATCAAGCGGGAACCTCGTTTGTGAGTGAATTGCGCGGAAGTCTCGGGCGGGAGCCCCCTCCCTATGGGGCCCGCAGATCATGTCACTAATCCGAGCGGGTCATCGGATTCCTGTAACTGTCGTCACTTTTGGGCTCCTCAGGTTTGAATTTGGAGGACGTATCAGGCGGGAGCCTCGTCTGTGAGTGAATTGTGAGGAAGTCTCAGGCGGGAGCCCCCTCCCTATGGGGCCCGCAGGTCATGTTATTAATCCGAGCGGGTCATCGGATTCCTGTAACTGTCGTCACTTTTGGGATCCTCAGGTCTGAATTTGGAGGAAGTATCAAGCGGGAACCTCGTCTGTGAGTGAATTGTGAGGAAGTCTCAAGCGGGAGCCCCCTCCCTATGGGGCCCGCAGATCATGACTAATCCAAGCGGGTCATCGGATTCTTGTAACTGTCGTCACTTTTGGGCTCCTCAGGTCTGAATTGGAGGAAGTATCAAGCGGGAGCCTCGTTTGTCAGTGAATTGCGAGCAAGTCTCAGGCGGGAGCCCCCTCCCTATGGGGCCCCAGATCATGTTACTAATCCGAGCGGGTCATCGGATTCCTGTAACTGTCGTCACTTTTGGGCTCCTCAGGTCTGAATTTGGAAGAAGTATCAAGCGGGACCCTCGTCTGTGAGTGAATTGTGAGGACGCGTCAGGCGGGAGCCTTCCTATGGGTCCCGCAGCTCACGTGGTTCCTCCGGGTCATCCTCCGGCGCGCGCTTCCTCTGGGTCGTCCTCCGGCGCGTATCGGCTGGGACGCACGTCGTGCGCTTCCTCTGGGTCGTGTTCCGCACGAGGACGAGGAGGAGGAGGATTGCCAGGAAAAGGAGGAGGGATGATGCAGGACGAGACAGGAAAGCAGGAAGAGGAAGAGGCTGAGGGGAGGAAGGACGAGGAGGAAAAGGAGGAGGAGGAATGCCCGAGGAGGCCCCAGTAGGTCCCGGAAGGCCCAGAAGGCTCCAGGAGGCCCCAAGAGGCCCCAGGAGGCCCCAGGAGGGGGCAGGAGGCCTAAGGAGGAGGCAGGAGGAGGAGGAGGAGGAGGAGGAGGAGGAGGGGAGGAGGGGGGAGGAATATGGAAACGAGGAGGAGGAGGAGGAGGAGGAGGAGGAGGAGGAGGAAGCGGATGAGGGAGAGGGAGAGGAGGAGGACAGGGGATGAGGAGGAGGAGGAGGAGGAGAAGGGAGAGGGAGAGCAGGAGGAGGAGGCAGGAGGCAGGAGGGGCAGGGGGAATGGGGGGGAGGAAGCATAACGAGGGGGAGGGGGAGGAGGTGGAGGAGGCAAGAAGAGGAGGAAGAGGCAGGGGTTGAGGCAGGAGGAGGAGCAGACAGGAGGAGAACGAGGAGGCAAGAGTAGGTGGGAGAAGGGAAGGGGCAGGAGGATACCCCCATGCAAGCTAAAGAGATTCTCATGTGGGGTCCTTCCGTCGGAGTAATTTGTTGGAGGGAGGAGGGGGGGGGTTCGAGGTGGAGCGTGGAATGATGCGACCTTTCTCCCAATCCTCGGATGTCCCATCCTCATCCTCATGATCCTCATCATCCTCTCCTTCTCCCCCCCCCCCCCTGTGATCCCCCTCCCTGTCCTCCTGTCAGCCTTCTCATTTCCGTCTGCCGTTCTCCTCCCCTCATCTGCCCCATCCACTTCCCGCCCCTTTCTCCCCATCCAATTCCTCCTTCTCTTCTTTAACCTCATCCACATCGCACTCCTCCGCCTCATCAGACATGTCCTCCAACTGCTCCTCCTTCTCCTCCTGCCCTTCCCCCCCTCCTTGCGCACGCGTGGGGGGAAATGGGGGGCGGAGTATTAGGAGGAGCAGGAGGATGAGGGAGGAAGTAAGAGGAGGAGGAGGAGGAGGAGGAGGAGGAGGAGGAGGAGGAAGATAATGAGGGATGAGGGAGGGTCAAAAGGTGGAGGGATGCTATATGAAGTAGTATGAACAGTTGGAGGGGGGGGGAGAGAAGTGAAGGAGGGATGATGTAAACGGAGGATAAGGAGAGAGGGCGAGAGAGGGCGTGGTGCGGGAGCAGGGGAGGAGGGGGGAGGAAGGGGGGATCGGAAAGGGGGGAGGATGGGATGATGAACGGAGTGAGGAGGAGGAGGAAGAGAGAGTCTTGCCTTCTCTGCACCTCCTCATCCTTCTCCTCATCCTGCTTGTCCTCCTCCTTGCACTCCTCCACCGTCCTCCTCCATCCTCCACCTCCCTTCTCCTCCCTCCTTCCTCTTCCTTCTATCGGTCGGGTCGGTTCGCGCTTCGCGCCCCGTCGTGTCGGGTTCACCTCTTCGTTTTCGCGGCTCCTCCTCCTCCTCCTCCTCCTCCTCCTCCTCCTCCTCCTCCTCCTCCTCCCTGCCTTCTCTGCGATCTGTCTTGTCTGCGTCAGGTCTGTCCGCCGACGGAGCGGGATCGCTTGGGTTTTCTGGACGGTTTGGCAGTGCCTCTCGAAGTATGTTCTGGCGCGATCTGACGGCCAGGGAGCAGGAGCCCAGGGCCCTCTGAAAAGGGCCCTCGGCCTTTCCACCAAAAGGTTGGCGGCAAGGCTCACCAGCTCCTGCTCCCAGGTGGCGTCGAAGAAGGTGGAGGACCATGCAGGTGTGTGTGTGTGTGTGAATGTCGTGGATGGCTTGGACCAGGCTCTCTTTGGAGCTTCAGCCGCTGGCTCTCAAGACCCCGGGGCCTCTCGCCTCGCGCGCGGGCGCCCGCGGGCGGAACCGTGGAGCGATCGCGGCGGCGGTCGCGCAGATGCTCGCGGAGTCGGCCATATGCCGAGCCGCGGATCACAAGGGGGACGTCCGCGGAGCTGGGGAGGCCTTCCAGGGGGCCGAGGAGGACGTCGACGGAGCCGAGGACGCTTGCCGGGAGGCCATCCGCCTCCAGCCAGACCACGCAGAGTCTCATGTCAAGTTGGGTTGTTTGCTGATCGGCCGCAAGAGAGATGTCGAAGGAGCCGAGAGGGCCTTCCGGGAGGCGATCCGCCTCCAGCCAGACAGCGCGGAGGCTCACTACAGCATGGGCGCGCTGCTCTTCGGCCACACGACGGACGTCGACGGAGCCGAGGAGTCTTTTCAGGAGGCGATCCGGTTGCAGCCGAAGCATTCGATGGCTCGCTACTCCCTGGGGCTTCTTCTCCTCGGCCACCCGGGCAACGGCGGCAACGCCGACGGAGCCGCGGGGGCCCACCGCGAGACGATCCGCCTCCAGCCGGACGTCGCGCAGGCCCGCGCCCAGCAGGGGAGCGACCTCCTCGCTCGCGGGGGCGCCGCCGCCGAGGCCGGCCCGGCGGCCGAGACGGCGTTCGCGGGGGCGGAGGCCTCCCTGGCGCAGGCAGGCCCAGAGGTCCGGCGCTCCGAGCAAGTTGGAGCGGCAGATGTTTGGCCGCCGTCGGCCTCCGGGGGCCCTCGCCGGGCTGGAGGGTGTCTCCGCAGGGCTCAGGCGACCCCTCCTCCTCCTCCTCCTCCTCCATCCTCCTCCGCCTCCTCCTCCTCCTCCTCCTCCTCCTCTCCTCCTCCTCCGCTTCCCCCCCCTTCCTCCTCCTCCTCCTTCCTCCTCCTCCTCCTCACTCCTCCTCCTCTCCTTTGCCTCCTCCTCCTCCTCCTCCTTCAATTCCTCAGGGCGCCTAAGCCTATCCTCCAGAAGCACGCCGGGCCTCAGGGCCGACCACAAAACGACTCAGGGCGAGAAGAGGCGGCCTTACGTGGTCGCGAGGCCTCTGCGGGGCCCACGCCTCGCATCCATGGGAGCGGCCCGATGTCCGGTGAGGCCGACGCGCGCGCGGGGTGGAGAAAGCTTGACTACACATGCTCGAGGCGGAGACGGAGACTGCACGCCCTGGCGGAGCCGGAGACGCGGGCGGCGCGTCGGGCCGCCGAGAGGGCCCCGTGCGCGGCGGCTGGTGGGCGGCTGCGGGCAGCCACGCGGGGCCTGCTGGGCGCGGCTCGAGGCTTGCGCTCCAAGGTTTCCATTAGGGGTCGATGTATATATTCCTCTTCCTATATTTTTACAAGCCCAGGGGGGGGGGGGGGGGGAAAACCATCCCCCCCCCCAAAAAAAAAACTGGACCCCCGGGATCTGGGGTTCTCGGGCTCCCTTGGACGTCCTTGGAAAAGGTCACCCGGCTTTCCGGGTCTCCACAAACGCCTTGCCAGCAGACCCAGAGCGATCCGAGGGGTCATCAGAAAGGCTCAAGGGAGGCCCCAGACAGCACAAGAGCGCTCCAAGAGGGGCTTCAATTGCGTCAGGACGGCCCAAAAGACACCCAAGGCACCCCAAAAAGCTTTCCAAGGGGCCTTCAAAGCACACAAATCGTCCCATTCCCTTCGTAAAACTTACAATGTTTAGCATATTCGCCTTTCGGATTTCATCAGCTTTCAAGACGGTTTTAAAGCCCCCGAGATCGCCTCCAGACGCCCCAAAAAGCCCCCAAGAAAGCTTCAAGACGGCCGAGCCGGGCCCCACGATCGCCCACTAGAGCCCCAAGACAGCCCATAATGGAACCAAGAGACACCCCAAGGGCTCCCAGCACAGACCCAAAAGGGCCATGGGAGGTCCCCGGAAGTGCCCAAGATGGGTCCAGCGGGCCCAAGCTCCCCAAGAAGGCCCAAGAAGGCCCCAGGATGGCCCATGAAGGCGCCAAAACGGCCCGCGAGGGTCCCGAAAACACCCCCACGATGTTTTCGAATGCCAACATCAAGACCCCCAGGGCACCCCAAAAGCTTTCCAAGGGGCCTTCAAAGCACAACAATCGTCCCATTCCCATGTAAAACTTGCAATTTTAGCATTTTTGCCTTTGAGATTCCATCAGCTTTCAAGACGGTTTCAAAGCCCCCGAGATCGCCTCCAGACGCCCCAAAAGGCCCCCTTAGAAAGCTTCAAGACGGCCGAGCCGGGCCCCACGATCGCCCACGAGAGCCCCAAGACAGCCCAGAATGGAACCAAGAGGCCCCCCAAGGGCTCCCAGCACAGACCCAAAAGGGCCACGGGAGGTCTCCGGAAGTGCCCAAGATGGGTCCAAAGGGAGCGCCCCAGGACGGCCCATGAAGGCGCCAAAATGGCCCACGAGGGCCCCGAAAACACCCCCACGATGCTTCCGAATGCCAACATTCACTGATTGTGCTCCCATGACATTACACATTGTGACCCAGTCGTCGAGGGTCTCGTGGCATGCAGCGAAGATGCCCGAGGGTGCCCCGTACGAGTTGCATATGCATGTCCATACCCTTACACACATAAATGTATATGCGCATATGTACGCTGCACACACATACAACAATGTAAGTATATGGTATACACCTAGACATGTATACGGAACGTGCATGCACGTGCGCGTGTATACATGTTGGGTTCGTCTGGGGGGGCAGCTCTGGAGAAGGCACCGAAATCGCCGTCAGGGGGGTCACGCAGGGGGGATCGCCAACTCGCTCTTGACGGGCAGGGTTCGGCGGTCAACTCGGAGTCTCCGCGCCTTTGGCAAGAAAAGGCGGCAAAGCGAGACCACGCCGCCGAATTACATCAGGCGAACGACTCTCGCGGCCCAATCCACAGATGTTCGTTCGATGCGCTGGCAGGGCAGAGTGGGAGGACCATGCGAAGCGAGTGCAAGGGCATGTAGATCAGACCCGAGAGGAATGCATAGACAAAGGATGTGAGAGAAGATTCGGCCGTCTGCGAGTCGGTGGACCCTTCCAGGAGGGGGGGGCGCATCAGGAAGAGGCTCATAAGAGGAAGGAGGAGGGGGAGGAGAAGGCAAATGAAGAGAAGACGGAGCACGACGAGGGCCATGAAGGGAAGGAGGGGGAGGAGGAGGACGACGACGAAGATCATCAGGAGAAGGAGGAGCCCTCCACATTAACACATACACACTGATCGCTACATTGGGAACGCTAGCTAAGACGCATGTCAAAACATTGCCTTCACATGCTGAAGCCCCCTGTGCAAACCTAAACGAATCAAGCCATGGCTCAAGAATCGCAACGATACCAAGTCAATGGGAGCGACGATGATGTCAAGAGGACGCGAGCTGTGAGATTGCACAACACACAATGATCTGAAGTTCACGGGTCGGCACTGGCCTGTTATGGGAGTTTTTGTCTGCAACCGAGCGCTTTTCAGAGCAGGTGTCGCTTCCAACTCGATCCACGAATTGGCTCAACTCCGAGCGTTCTAGCTCGGTCTGAAAACAGATACATTACGACTCCCGAGCTAAAGACAGCAACATCACAATGCATCGAGCCCTACCTAACGGGCGATTGCACTAACACGCTTATGTCAAAACAAGGCTGTGTGTCAATGTGCTGAATGTGTTTCTGCATCTTCAAAGTTTGGGGTTCGAGGGATGTGAATCTGTGCGTGTTGCAACCACCCTTCCTAAAATTCAAAACTCAAATGCGCTTGGCGCGCTTGAAGCCCTTCGACGGCAGGGCACTGGAACTGGAACCTTTCACCTTGCCACAAGCGCTGCCGCTGGACTCGCTGCCATGCTGATACTTCTTCGGGGCTGGCGTGACGAGTTCCTCGAGCGGCGATCCCTCCGACTTTGCGGGGGTCTTCGTGGCAACGCTTGTGACTGAAGCAGGGGGAGGAGCACCAGGCGCCTTGAAAGGCGACGTACTTGGACTCACAGCGCGGGCGTGCAAGTCTGAAAACTGCTGCCAAAACGCGCGCGGCAGCGTGGGGTGCAAAGGCTGCCGCTCGGCCAGGAAGGCCTTCGCCTTGTCTGGCCCCTCGGGGCGGTGACGAAACACAAAAAGCAACTCGACGCCCTGAATGATTACGCTTGCCTCAGTGGCCTTCCTCATTGTCGTCTGGGCAACGGCGACGGCCTCACTGGTGATATTGTTATCTTGAACGCGGGGGCAGATGGCAAGCAAGCCAGCGGCGTCGGCGAAGTCCTTCAAGGTATCGTGTAAGGAGTTGTGGCTGGAGACCAGTGGCTGCAACTTATTCTTGAGCATCTGAGTGGCCATGGTCTCGTTGAAGTTGTCGTCTGAGATGCATGCTGACCAAGTAGGCGTGGCTTTGGCCGTGTCTTCGGTATGCTTGGTTAGGATTGCGGCCATCGCGTTCAGGATGATCCCCTCACACTTGTTGCTGAAAGCACCTGCAAGCGAGCACCAATGTCGGATCGAAGCGATGGGCTCGCCGAACTGCCACCCTTTCTTCTCGAAGTTCACGGCGACAGTGTTGTTGATGATGCCGTCCAGCTTCGTCAAAGCCCCATGAAGGACTTGCATGATGTACGTGGCATCCTGGCAGATAAAGGTCTTGTTGAACGTGTTGTCCCCACTGGATCCTTTCTTGATGATGTTCACGTCTGCTGCGGCCACCGTTGCGACCACGTCGGCGACCGCGCACTTGAGGCTCAAGATGAACATGGCGTCTTCGACGCTGGGCTTCGTGATGTTCGGATCGGCGTTCGTCACGCCAGGCACCTCCAAGTGCGTAAGGACGACTGCCTTGGTGAACCGTTCCAGGTGGTCGTAGGCCATGTTGTGGTTCAGCTGAGACAACGTCGCGAGGTCGCCTCGGCCCCTCGCGAAGTCGATCGACGCGAGATCCACGATGTCCTTGGAGTCAGCTTTGGGCACGAGGTGGGAGTACGCACAGATAGCCTCGCAGTCCTGAATAACGTCTCCGTGAACGATGCCCAAACGCACCTCGGTCTCAGAAATGTGTTCCATCTTACTCTTCAAAAATGCAGTGGTCTTCAAGTCGTACATGCGTTGCCCGACGTATTTGCAAAACTGTCCGAACATATGCGCCACATCATCGCCGTTGTCGGGCACTTGGATTACCGAAGCGACTTTCAGGAAGAACGGTTTGACACAAGTATGCTCATGATGGACCCTACTGAAGTTGCAAAGAGTATTCTCGTCGGCCTTCGGCGTGCTCTCCGAAACCTTCTCGCCGTCCAACCGCCAGTCTGGATCAGCGAGCAAGAAGAGGTCCTGCAGGTATGAGATCATCTTGTCAATGACCGAAACGTTGTGATTGAAGTTCTTCAGTACGGACTCGCCCGACGATTCCTTGTCGAACTTCTCATGCCACGCGGAACCCACCCTGGACGCAGCGACACGGTAAAGCTTCTGGGCGTTCAGCGCGAGTTGCAGCATGCTGTCGACGAACGCCTTCAAGCGCGGCCTCATGGCGCGCACGTTGGAGTCGATCTCGCGGACGTACGAGTAGAGGTTGTTCTTCGATGCGAAAATCGCCATGGCCTCGGCATCCTTGCCGTGTGTCTTGGCCGACTGGCCTTGAACGACCTCGGTGCCAGCCCCGTTCTCTCCGGTAGACACGACGTCCGCCTTGGAGGCCTCGACGGCTTTCATCAGGAGGCTGCCGACCCATCCTTTCACAGTGTCAGTGTAAACGGAATTCCCCGTGTGCAGTAGCATGTACATGTTGGAGATCGTATTCGCCTACGGTTCAAACTCACAAGGCCACTAAATGGTCCAAACCTCTCGAAATCAAATGTTGAATCACCCCCTCAACCCCGCCACCTCGAAATCAAAGAAGGTGAGGGTGTTAGCAGCAGCATGAGCAGCGCGATACATCACGTGAAAGAAGGGGGACTGAGGGGGTCAAACGCGAATAAGAGGGGGTAGAGCGGACTGCGCCAGCATGACAATATACATATCAATTCATATCTCAAAAAGGGGGCAAGGTGGAGAATGTTGAACGGAGAAAGGAGGAGGAGGAGGAGAGGACGAGAGGGTAAAGGAGGCGGGAGGGAGAAGGATGGGGGGAGGAGGATTGGAAGGAGGAAGAGGAGGGGGCTCTGATAAGTGGCCCTGCAAGTTTGTTGTGCCCGTGGCTCGCCAAGCTCTCCGTGTTCGTCTCCAACGCGCTCGGCGACCAGCGCTGGAGGGCCTGCTGGCAAGCGACGGCCATCTTCTGGCAGCTCTCCAGGTACGGCGTGAACGACTCGACCGTGACGGCCTTGCCGTTATTGCCTGAGC